TTCCACAAAATGTTTCTCCGTTTATTTCAATCATTTGCAGTGTTTCGCCATATACTGTCCATATCGAAGAGCGATAAGTGGCGTCCCTGCGATAGCTGCGTATTTGCGAGCCGTCTCTCCCTGTCTAAGTGTACATACGTCTGCCACTCTTTCGTCTGGGCCCTTGTCGCTCTCACAGCCACCCCCCCTCATTGCTTTCAGATGTGGACGACCGCATTCCTTGCAAGCAACTACAATTACGCTTGTGGCCAGTTGTAAATAGTAGCAATTTCCCAGCAATTTGATGGAATTTTCGTATTCACTGGCAGAATTTTTCGCCTCTGAAATGCAAATTTTGAGGCACCAAAGAACAGTACCCCGTTCACATGGACAAGCCGATGGTTGTGAAGTGTGAAATTGTAAATCCGACGACTGTCTACGGCTCACCAGACCTGAAGCTCAATATCCGTCTCTGGTCATGGGGCGTTATCAAGAAGCAATGCACATGGCTCCCAATCCCTACCCTCGGACTTTTGTAAGTAACCTCTGCCCTTCAAGAGCTTAATAATACAGTACTGTAATTAATGCGAAATTCTAGGGACAATTTGGACGCATGCCAGCACGGTATCAAATGTCCAATTGCACTGGGACATCAAACAATAGATGTAATCGTGGACTTCACCAGATTCAGTACAATTGTTAAACTACTCAAGGACGACGCTCCGTATCAGCTGCAATATGAACTCAGAGACAGAGCTACGGGAGATAAAGCGTGTCTCATGGCACAGGCCCGAGCTAGAACGAAGTGATCTGCATTGCTGTCAGACCACAAAGGACCACGCTACCGTACTTTATACTTCAAGTTCTGTAATATAACAGTTCCCTAGTGGTTTTTTTTCTGTTTACTGCAACATTTCTCAAAAACATTATTATTCGATAAACAAGCATTAATCACTGATTAATCCTTAATTGTTAAGAGCTTGGAGACTTCTCGCCCTAGATGAGTACATCAAAAAAGCTGTATCAGTAGAGATTGAAGAACTCGAACAGATTTGGAAGACACTCTTGTCCCGTGCATGCTGGAGCGTTGCAGAGGTTGGGCCTGCCTGTTCTCTACCAACTGTGGAAGCTGACAGGCGGCCACGATTGGTGGAGAACAGGCAGGCGCCGCGCCGGAACCAGCTTCCTCGGGACGACCTTGCTTCCGCATCGGACAAGACTGTAGAGCTTTTACCCAGCCAAATCACAAACTTGCACCCAAATTCACTCCAGGAAATCCCTCGAAAAAAATCTAGCTTAGGAGGACAAAACTCGAGAGGAAATCTCATTCTTTATTTTTAATGCAACTCTGATATGACTTAGGATCAGGGCACGTCCTGCCGCTGGGATAAATTTTCGGAAACTAGGACGTTGCATTAGGTTTCGTCCTCTAGTACGACTCCCCTCCCTTCCCCATCCTACTTAACATTCAACTTTTCCCGCTCCCTACCGCGATGTTCGGATCCGGATATTTCCCGAAAATTCCCCAGTCTTTCACCAAAATTTCCCTGTACCGAAGGGCGGGGGCGGAAGCGGGGGTATATAGCACATGTGTAAAGGGGAAAACCACGAAAAGTCAACAACCGGACGACCGCAAAATTTTTCCTAACGCAGTACACAGGCCCTCAGAGGCAAACACGACTCTCCCCCTTGCGACCAAATATGACTCCTCCCACTAGGGATGCCCCAGCGCACGACGGTCTAGTTAAGATCCTATAGTTCAAGACACCCGATAAGCCGCGTCCCGCGCAAACTAACACTTCTGAGCAGTTGCTTCAACTTAGTAACTTAGCGACAAATCAGTGAAGTCAGCTGTACCCCTTATCTGGTCTTATGTAGAACGAATTGCGCCCTACATAGGGCCAGATGAGTGGGGTACAGTTTGTTAAGTTCTATTCTATTCAGGATGTAAAAGATTTTACAACCTGATTTGACGCCGAAGAAACTGCCTAGGTGGGAAAGCTATCGTCGCGCCTCGGATGTCTACACTCGAGTTGGAATCCTGCCGAACTGCTGAAACTGCCTCTTACTAGGCTACCCTCAAGATGAGCCTTTGCACTTCACAGAGAGCAAACTCACAAGAGTTCCGCCTATGAGAGTGACTTCAGTCTATTAATCATCACTTATCAGACCAAAACGAGATCGAGATCGAATTAGAAAGAGCCAAGACCAGATGCCACCAGCCCTGAGGAATAAATAACACATCGCCGGCTTCCACAACTCCATCCCAACAACGTGCTTTCGCAAAGTCCGGATACTTCTCCAAATCAGGGCTCAACACATCGACCTGTCATTTGAAAACTCTTAATTTATTAGCTGAACTGACATGAGCGCATTCAAAAAGCACCTACCTGGCTAGTGTTGGTGATGATGCCGTCCTTGAAAGCGTACACATTTTCTGAATCAGATGGAGCGACAAGACGGAAGAACTTGCGACCCACGATCTTAAAGAGATCAAACACGTCTAAGGAGCCGCAGATCATGGGAAAAGCAGAATAAGAGGAACTAACCTGGCAGAAAATATTTTCTCTTGGATCTGTATGGAGGGGAGATACAGTGCCTCCGGGTCCAATCCATCCGTTTTTGTCAACGTTCTCAAATAAATGGTAGCCATCACTACTCCCTTTCCATTTTGTTATCTTTGTGATTTTTATATCAATGCATACCTCACAATGGTCACAATACAATGGCAGGGAGAAGTCGTCGCAAAGTTTTGGTATTTGATCAAAAATCCTATGTTGAGCAAGATACAGAGGTCTGTTCTGAAAATGTATGCAAATCAAAGGACAGAAACTCAATCCTCCATAGGTTATTCAAACCTTGTAAAAGCCAGAACTAAGATTGAGAAAACGTCAGAACAATTTACAAAACGTCCCGCGATTACAATTCGTAAGTAGTGGAATCCTAACATTATTCCGCCTTGGTTCAATTACCATTGAAGGAAACGCAGCCCAGAGCATCCTTGAAAGGGCGCGTTGTACACTAGGCATTCAGGTGGTACATGCTGGGCCGTTGGAGGAGGGCGTCGTATGGTATGGTCGTTAGAGGGAGCTCGGAGTCGCATCTGGTCTTTGGAAAGATGTCGGTTAATGACTTTTCATGGTTTTTCCCATTTCACGCCATAATCCCTCCCTTTCTTCCTGACTGCAGTTTTTTTGGGAAGAATTGTAAAAAAATGTTTTGTGAGAAGAAAAATGTTCCGCGGAAAGTAGGCAGATAAGTTTGGGGGAATCCAGGAAGACCAGTCAGGCTGGATGGGGCCGCGCAGAGCGGGGGCGGGGAGTCGAATCAAAGATAAGTAAGCCTAACTAGGCAGTGATCTGTCATACGGCAAAATGCTTCTCCTAGCGGCGATGAAGGTGCCGTGGAGCCACGAATGAAACCCCAGTCGATTTTCAAAATTAGCCAGATGAGGTAAATAGAGGCAGAAAGGTGCTCGAATTGTAGGCGATGGACTGAACAAGGGTGGTCTACATCTAGCCATGCTGTTCCTACGATGGTGAGATCAGCTGCCGCGCATGGCGGCATACCTTTGTGTACACGTGGAAATTAGAGTCGAAGAGACGGCGAGTCTATCTCAGTCCACTAGTCCCAGTGGAGAGGAGAATGCTATCGGAGCTCTTGCTAGTCCACCCGGCTCATAGCATTCTTACTTCCGACTTCCCCAAGCCGAAGTTTGCGGCAGCTGATCTGGACCTGCTTGCGGCATTAACGTGGGAGCTGGGAGGGAGTTCTATCTACGCTACCAGGAAAATCGGCAGAACGTGCGCTTTAGTTCACATCAAACCTTAATAGGGGCGGAATATTGTGTCTTTATCATTCCGTGGTATTCGCTTCTAGCCTTCCTGCCGGAGATTGAGCCGACTTTGATATTAAAAGGCGCCTAGCGTTTCGGCGTCTTCCGGCCTTCGTCAGAAGGGGCCTGAAGTAGTGGCTGGGGAAGAAAACATTTCGAGTACTTGAGTAGCTCAACCATTTCAACATGACTCCACATGACGATTTCACAGGTATCCAGTGTTTAATCACGTAACGCTATCCGAGTAGCGGAAACGCTGGCTTAACGTTGATCTTGGCCGCGTGACACGGGACGACGACGCTGTGAGTGTTCCGAATCAAAGGGGAAATATGTTTTGTTTGTTTGTGCTAAGAAGACGCTGGGTTCGGCTTTAGTTTTATTTGAAACGCGACTGCCTGGCGAATGCCGAGAGCCGTGATCAGCGGCACCCTTTTATAGGGACCAAGAGCTGATACGGGGGAGCAAATACAAGTCACAAAGAATAGAGTTCAAGCGTAACCAGGAGAGTCTAAACGAGTGCCTAGTAAATAATGCTATCAAGGGGTTAAGCGACCCTCACATATAATACTATCAAAGAGGTAGCGACTCCCTAGTAAATAATGGTATCTAAGAGGTCGCGCGGAGCGAGACACTCCGCGCCCCCTCACACTGAATTATGGAACTGATGAATTTTAACAAGTCTTTCAAGCTTTCCTATTTGTATGCATTACAGGCTCTTATTCAGAAGGCGAGCTTAAATTATCAAACGTAGCATCAACGTAATCTATCAATGATTAACTAAACCCGTAAAACAGCGACATAAATCAATGAACGGAAGTCAAGTCATCAAGACCTAGTCAGTAATGAAAATACAGTATCATCAACATCAGTTTCGATTAATGGTTATTGAGTAAAGCCGATGAAATTTTCCGACGAGAACGCGGTGTAGAGCGTTGATTCGTGTCGATGGATGCCGTTTGATAAGATAGATTCTGTTGTCGTTGTTGGTGGATATGATATCTCTAGTACCGAAGTAACACGGTTATGTGCAGACACGCTGCATTTGATACCGCATGCTGGGTCACTTCAGCATTCTTTCCGACCATTCTTTGATTCTTTTGGTTATATCCTTTATTAGCCTCATTAAAATGTGAAGGCTTGAGTTCACTATTTTTGCAATTATTACAATAGTGATTGGGCCAAGCATATAGGTGATTCCTAATGCAATTAATGTTACACTATTGCTGCAAGTGTTAGTTTCCACTTACTCTTTATCACATTTATTATTGGTTCCAAATCTGGAACATGGAAACCTTTTAATGATGGCCATGCTGCGGATGCAGTGTTCCCTTCTTCGAACATATTTTCGGGAAAATATTTCACGTGGTAGTGTAACTGTCCTCTCAGTTCCAAGGATAGTTCCTTCTTATCGCATATCACAAAGCATTTTTGTGCGATGAGAGATTTATCGAATTGTAGTGCGATTTTTGATGTTCTATTGGAGGGATCGCACTCCACCGTAAATGCCATGTTTTCGCACTGGATTGTAATGGTGGATTCCAGTGCTGTAGTGCAATGCTGTGAGTTCAGCTCCCTCTTGGCAGTTGTAGCAACCCATTCACGGTGCTGAGCTCGACTGAACATTGCTGTT